AAACTAACTGAACTTTTTATAATAAGTCATTATCTAAGCTTTAAGCCTTAAAAAATTGACCAATCACAATTGATTATTCTTATAATTTCAATTGTGATTGGTCAATTCCTTAAGGCTTAAGACTTAATAGCTATTGTAGAGAAAGCTTACCGTTTACCTAACGTTTAATTTTTTTTTCACAGTACAGAAAATAAGACAATCATAAATTAGTGATATTAACTTTTTTATTAATAATTTTTCTCTGTTTTACTCAATATGATCCCTTTTGTTCAATAAATTTTTAATAATCACTTAGGCCAGGACTGAACAGCCTTATTGATTAATTCGATATTAATATTAATTAATTAATTTGAGGAAGTTCTTTCTTTGTTTTCAAGTATGTTTAAGAGCAATCATATCTTTAACTTTTTCCTCTTTACCTTCTATTTTAAATAGTTCTAGACGAAATAATCCAGGACTTTTAAAATTTCAGAAATAGTGTCTTTTAATTGCAATTTCAAAACAAAACAAAATAAATATCAATACAGATATGATTTCATATAATAAATTTAAGACTCCAACATGCATTACCACGTGCATAACAAACGACTCTAGAGTTCATGCAAGACAAATTAAAATTTAAAGAAGAATGGATTCCAAAGTCTCCAAATACAATCTCTCAATCAGTGTAATCGAAAGAGGACATGTTTAAATAAAAAATGATATATAAATTACCTCGATGGCGCGAAGAAGAAAAAAATTAAAATAAAAATTAAAAGTAATCATCATTGTTTTATCACTCTCAGTAGCTATCAAAGATCTGATTCATTCCGACTTTCGACATTGTTATCGAGCAGTCGTTGTGAACATAAGTGTTATGTCCCAATATCATATTAAGAAAATCCAGAGTGAAATAACATACATAAAGCTGGTTTACATTCAAACGCGTCGTGCGTCCCTAATCGAGGAGTCAGGCGATAACACTGGAGATGTTGCGACGGGAGAGATAAAGCCCGGTGTGCCCCTCGCGGAAATACAGCCACGCAAGAATGTAAGGGGGAGCGAGATATTAAATGAGAAGAGTAAGGGAATCGCGCCGTGCCTTCCGCCGTTCGCGACCTCCGTTCGTCGGGAAAGAGACAATGTCGAGCTACGAGTAACGCACTCCGCTCGTGTTGCACGAGCGCACACGCATACGTACCTTGGCATTGTTGGATACGCTGGGTCCACCGCGTACAAACTCCGCCATCCCGTCGGCACGCACGCACCTCTCTCGCGTGCACGCGACTACGAAGCACGGAAGTACCCAGGCCGATCAGTCGAACGGCATGCGTCGTCTCCGCCGCGATGTTCCTTCGCGTCGTGATCGTATTTACAAATACAATTACGAAGGCAGGCTCGTATCAGTATAAAATGTATTGACGTTTCCCGGCAGCCATTTTACTATCCGCACGCGCCGATCGTGACGCATGCGCGAACATGACGAGTCGACTCGTCGACTGGTCGTGTGGTCGACTCTCGATGACGGAAAGTGAAACGATAATGGCGCGATGGTAGTTCTTTAATGAACTTTCAACAATATCCGGGAATATCGATAAGCTCGAGAGTAATGTTATCGACGGAGTAAACTCGAGTTTCGCTTTGAAATTGCGAAAAAATGCAAGGATCAAAATGGTACTTGCAAATAAAAAAATTGTAAAGCCAATATTTAAAAATAAGAATTGAGAATATTTTATAGAGATTTTGATTCGATAATACATAAAGGCCATCACACGTACAAAAATTTTAGTCGTAATCGTAAGGTCGCAAGTAAATCGACCAATCACAATCAAAATTACGATCTCGCGTTTAAAAACGCTGTGATTGGCCGATTTACTTACGGCCTTACGGTTACGACTAAAATTTTTGTACGTGTGATGGCCTTAAGCTGCATTCCGTTTCACGCATGATGCATCTTTTATTCTTGTTATTCACCGAATGTTAAATCAGAGAGAAGCCTGAAGCTGATTCTACATTAAGCTGGTTCTACATTAGTCGCATCGCAGCGTCGCAAGCATTGCGGTCCAATCATCATCAATCTAGCTCGACTCTGATTGGACCACAACGTTTGCGACACACTTGCGACACTGCGATGCGACTAATATAGAACCACAGCTTTAGGCCAGAATGAGACTAGGCATTAAAGATTGAGATTGAAGATTGAAAGATTGAAATTTGACCAATCAAAACAATAGGAGCTAAAATTCCTTTGCCCTCATTGGTCAAATT